AGAATGTTCATGTCTACTTGCAACTTTTTATAGCATCCATATAGTTGCAGTTGCGATTATCATCACTGTTTACCATCAGAGTTTTCAACATGTCTGGAATGGAGACAACTGGTAAAAGCCTGTCTGCTTCCGGATGAACGGAGTGGCACGTCTCGTTGAAACTGTTGGAAATCGTATCAGTAGAGGTGTTAAATTGTGTCGTTTTCCTACGTTTGGCTGAACGCCTAGGAGCAGGGGTCTTCATTTTCTTTTGTGGCATGATAAAGTGACGTATAGCAAGTGGTTTGAACAGAATGTTGGAAATAGGGGTGAAAAAATCAATTCCGAGGGCTCAAGTTAGTCTAAAAATCAAAATCTATGTTTTAACCAAGAGTGAATGTATCGTGAGGATTAGTGGTGTTAAAAACAAAAGATGACAATGGCAGGAAGATAGTAGTGGAGATGAAGTATTTATGTCAGTATCTGTGTGGAGGCAAAATAGAATATAAAGGAGCAAGTTGTATAAATTTTAACATATATGACACGAAAGATAGCCTTATATAGTAAAGTAATTTAGAAATGTCGATAATTAGTATCAAACAATCAAAAAAGTACGGTATGTGATACATATATAAACTGAAAGTCCGTATTAGTAAAAATTGGGAGGTGCAGAGATAAGTAGTTTAGAAGATTATTACCGTCTAAAGTTATTATGTTGCTTCTTGAACAAATATATGAAACAGCTTTTTGGAAAAAAAACACTGTCAAAAAAAAACTATGACAGACTCACCGAATGGGACAGGTAATTTCGGAAATGAAATAATTTATAGTATCCAAATACGATTTAAATGATAGTTCATAAAATAGTGAATACAGTCCTTTAACATACACGGTTATATATATTTCTTGATATTAGGTAGAGGTTTGAATAGATCGTGTAGATACATAAAGTACGTGGGTTAAAGCATTCAAATACGACATAACCATATATTCCTTAAGAAATAGAATACAGATATGAAATGCAAATCTTCGTCAAATATGACTATATATGGTTTCAAAATGACAGAGCATAGTTTGATCGTATAGCCAAAATGAATATATGTAATTATATGATTATGAATTATTGTATGAATGTGATCATAAATACCATAAGTTAAACTCAGAACTTATCATATGGCATGAAATTCACAGTTTATATGTTAATAGTTAAGAATAGAGTTATCTTCCATAATTCCAAGAAAAAATAATTCATCCAGCTCTGCGAGAATCCTAGAAAAATAAAAATAAAACCCTCGGCCTGAAAGTAACGTCCAGTCCGTAGCGCGCGGTAGGTTGGAGGAACAGGAGTCGTGCTTATGAAGTCTACTGAAATTTCCTCAAAGTGATGCTGTTCTTAGAACTTACTCCCCTGGTGTACATTCTGTGGTTGTTACTGATGCATCACCTGTAGGTATTGGCACAGTTTTGAAACAGGAACGTAGACCAGTTATTTGTTTCACGCAAACTTACAGTTACTGAACGAGGTTGTTAACAGACTCAGCGATAAGGATTAGCTGTGTTTTGGGCTGTTAAAAGACTTCATAAATATTTATTCGGAAAGAAATTCATCATTGTTGCTGATGATGAAGCTTTAAAGTTTATTTATCATCCTGAAAAATCCTTAGCACGTTCCCCAGCTGCTATGGTTCAACGATGGAGTATTGACTTGAGTGCATATGACTATACGGTTCTGCACAGTAATGCCAAACAAATTCAACATGTTGACTACATCTCTCGACAATCATTATTAGATAAACCTGTTGCTAATTCAAACTGCTAGTTGGTGTAACCTTTACCAGTAAGACGTCCAGATCTCATTAGAAAAGCTCGTAGATACTTCGGATATATAATTAATGCTATATGGAACGGTTGAAATGCTAATCTGACACGTAGATTTCCTGTCTATTTTTCAAGGCGGAATGAGCTATTCACTACTCCTGATGGTATTTTGTGTTTAAATGATCGTGTTGTCATTCCTCCTTCATTGCGTAAATCTGTTCTTGAAGATCCTCATAGTGGACATTTGGATGTTGAGAAAATGAAGTCCTTGGCAAGGCTCACGTGTTGGTGGCCAGAGATAAATGCAGATATAGGTCGTACAGCAAACAGTTGTGAAAAGTGTTATAAATTGAAAAGTCAGCATTCAAAGTGAATTTCAAGGCCAGCATCGTCTGAGGCCTGGCAGAGAATTCTTGCCGACTTTGTGGTCCGTTTCTTGGCAAATACTATGCACTTGTAGTTATTGGTTCTTCTTCGAAGTGGCCTGAATTTTTTTCACAACGTCACCAGCTTTAGACTTAACAATTCAAGCATTAAGAAAGGCGTCTAGTCGAAGTGTTCCCATGGTGATAGTAACTGATAATGGCTCTCATTTCGCTGCAGATGCAGTCAATACCTGGTTGAATGGTATAGGGTGCAAGCATCTGTTCACTGCTTCCAGGCACCCTTGTTCTAATAGTGAGGCAGAAAATTTTGTCAGGAGATTGAAAACTGCTATTGATTCTATTGCTGCTTCAAGATTTAATGAACTGAAGAGGAGATTATGTACCTTTCTACTGCAATATACAAATGCCAGACATTCTTTGACGAGAGAGACTCCATCAAAGCTACTAAAAGGAGGAATTCTTCGGTGGAATATGAGATGTTTGGAGTCTACAGATGTTACATCTTATCGTGGAAATGTTCTTCGATCATCCACGAGGATTTCAAGATATTCCATCAAAATATCTGCCAGAACTGGACCAAGTGGACTTCCCATTGCTACGTCATCGATTTGACGATATATAGTGTTATTAAACTGGAATTGGACGTCTGTTGCGCACATTAATATTATTTTTTCGAATTCTCGGGGCTGGTAAAGGTAGGAGATCATAATTCTGACAAATCATATCAGTAGTTTCAAGAAGTAGTATATTGGTGAACAAGGATGTCACATCAAAATATACCATGAACTTATGGGCAACATTCGTACGATTTAGTTTATCAGCAAAGTGAAATGAATCTTTTAACGTATATCTCGTTAATCTCCGACGGACCGGTTCTAGTTTTTCTTCCAAATTAATAATCTTATTGTATCGACTGAACTCTACTCATTTTATTCCTACCAATGTTTACTCATTATATAATCACTTGTTTCTGGCCGTTTTGGATTGTTGTCACAGTCAACATTGTAGAATGTTCTTTTACATAAGGTATACAGTTTCAATGTTCAGTCTATTCAATTTATTTACACTCTTGTTATACTATACTAATGTGTCTTCAATATAATTTCAAACGTAACCCTCTCATTGAGGTCATTTACACCGATTATGTAATTACGATTTTTCAATATCACAGGTTGTAAGCAGCTGACGCGAACCAACAAAATGAATTCATTCTATTCTGCTAGAACTTTTGTTCTTAATCTTCCCAAAATGATAAAGGGAACTATGTGTATGTGTATATAAATACTGACTGCATGATGATCGAATGATCTTCCATTGAAATGAGGATGAACAATGATTTTAGCAGAATGGAGCGAATTCATTTTATTTCGTTTGGTTCTCGTTAGCTGCTTACAACCTGTGATATTTAAAATGATAATTACATAATGAGTATAGATTATTTACATGAAACGTTTAGTTAGAAATTATGTTGAGGGCACATTTGTATAGTATAGCAAGGCTGTAAATAGACTGAATATAGTACCTTATGTAGAAGAACATTCTACAATATCGATTGTAACAACAGTTCAAACGGCCAGAAACAAGTGATTACATAATGAGCAAATAATGATAGAAATGAAACGAGTGAAGCTCAGTCAATAAAATAAGATTACTGATGTGGGAGACAGTCAAAATAAAAATCTCAATGGTGTAATAAACACCAGAAAGAGTTGAACAACGTATTAAGGTTCAACGGAGGAAAATTTGTCATCAAGGAAATGAAAGATTAACAACTATCTTCTGAACATATAAATCAGGTTTTTGACGCCTGATAGCGACTACTTTAGTAAGCTTTACAACACTGAAGTTTGGCTGCTTACTAATCACCCTGAAAGATCGCAAGGTATCCACCCGATGTAAAGTAATTGTTTTAATAACTGAAAATTACTTATTCGTCCCAACTTAAGCATATCAGATAGGTGTAAATTGGAAAATAAGAACGAACAATATTCAGAGATGATGCAGCACTTATCTTGTAAAGAGTGATCCCACATTAATTTTAAAAGAAATCACAAAGAATGAGGACAGTCAATTTCCGTATTTTAGATGCTTTACTGAAAACGTCTCCAGAAAAGTTACATATGTGTGCGTAATCTACATCAAGCTCACTTACTGCATCGATTCACCAAGTTCAGTTCAATGATAAAATTAGTAGTCAATTAGTTAGATTAGATAATCACACTAACATATCTCTTCTTGATAATATGACCAGAGAAATGTCAGCATTATTCTCTCTTTCAACTGAATGCTAAATAACACCTTTATATTTTGGTATTTCAGCATAATTATTATCAGTGGTCTTATGAGTAGAATTCTCTCTGATTTTGATGGACTCAACTAATTAGTAGTTTGTTGATCACGTTGCAACCAAATGACGTGATGTGATCATCTCAGTGTTTCCATCAATTCTCTCACTTGTACTTGATAGATTAACAATAGTTAAAGATAGCAAATTTATATTGGCTATGTGTTGAGGAGATAGTATCTCGATGAGTCGAATTCAAATTCACTAATATATGCGATCGTCTCTCTACATATGCTTATGTGTGATAAAGACAAACGAGATGTTTGCGAAGATCAGTCGACTGTGCTTATTGAACAGTAATGCTTGATGGTGTACTAGAGTGGTTCCATCTGAGCAATCCTGTTATTCACCTTGCCCGATAATTTTGTATGCATTGGAGCTGTATGAACGATAAGCGTTATGTGTCTCTTGTGATCTAGTGACAGATGGTTTTGTGGATTACCCCTTTGGAGAGTTTGGAATCGTCTACGGTCATGACGATTGCTAATGTTGTATGTGAGACATCGAAGTTGTCGGGCAAGAATGGCATTGGTTGAAATGAGGGTATCGTAAGAGTCTTGATCACAAACAGTTTGGGAGTCTATCCGGCCATGTTGAATATAAAGTATATCGATGAACGAAAACATTTCCGAAAATAAGGAAATAGTATAACACGATGCAAAAATTAAAGTAAAAATGATACATAAAGTTTCGGAAAGGAACTGGTACATCAGTGATGTGTCATTTGTTTGATGAAACCACAACAGATTTTTTTCTGATTTGGAATTGCTCCCCTCGGTTGACTTGTGGTGTATGTTAATTATGTCGATATAAATAGTACATAACACCAGTTGGAAGTGCAATAACTGACAGCGGAAGTTTGTCAAGATCGAAGACAACAAGTAAAGAGAGTGTCTGTTCTGGAAATGCTTGATATTGTATAAGAGTGGGTGAATATCAGTATTTTATGTTGATCGATCTGAGCGATTTTGTTCTTCAAGTTTTCAGATAATTATGTGGATGTTGGAGCTGGATGGGAAATAAGGAGCAGTTATCAATTTGTGGTGTGATGCTCTGTCATGAAGGAGAGCAGTATAGGTCTGACACAATCCGGTCAAACACGATCCTCTTGCTTACGTCGCCGACCTAGTGTGTTCAGGTGACTTGAGAACCTATCAAACATGGCTAAAGAAAGAAGACGATAAAAATCTAGTGGTTTATCTCACATCCTTCATAAAAGCGTTAGGTTCCCCAGCAGCAAGAAATTTTCCCGATAACATTTTCAACTAAACCGTATCTCTTGATCAAAGATATTCTCGTGTACCATTTTCATTCTATATTTATTTATTAACTTTGTTTATACAATAGCTCCTCCCTCCATCTCTTCTCTGTTTCATTTATTGTTTGTTTTGTGAATAATTGTTTTGCCGCACAGATATTCCTAATTTTTCCTACATTAGTCAACGAACTACATCGATGTGTTCTTTTTGTGTTGTAACCTTATATGTAGCTCGTTCTCATTAGACATTCTTCATGTGGCTAACGTTTTCACATCATCTATTGTTTTCCCCGGAAACGCATCAAAATGGCAGATGAATCACCTGCGTTTGTAAAACATTGTGATCAAGCCCTCGTTTTCACTCATTTATCACGATCCAACAGATCTGTGTCCCACTCACATGTCATATACTCTCTACATTTATAGACCAAATTGGACTCGAAGTTCAGTTTGCCATACTTTCCTACTCTGCAGTTGTATTAGATACATTATCCTCCGTAATTGTTTTACTTGAAGTGGACAGGTAACTCATCAATGCTGCTCAACTGGTTTTGGTCGCCAAGAGACGCTCACTACTACCCTAAAATGTCAAGAGGACCTCATAATCGACTGCTTACTGCCAATGCTCTTGCATATATGGAACCTGTTACCCATCAACCGGTTGGGGTAGAGCAAAATAACATCATCACGAAGTTAATGTGAGGTCCTTCTTGTCTATTCTTTATCAGAGTTTTACTCTCCAGTACACTACTTTGATTTGCCACTAATTTTATTTCACCACTCGTTACCTCATCTATAACTCGTAAATTCCTATACTTTTCCGCCTACTTTGGTAAACAACTATCCCACATTATACCCTTCCTAATGCTTGCACATTGATTGGCAATCTATACTCCATACTACGGTCAATTAAAGCATTGCATCGATGAGTTACCCTCAGACCATAATTTGTAACTGCCTGGTAAGCTTGTAAAATGCTATCTTTAACAATTGTTAGTCTATCAGATAGAAGTGAGAGAATTGATGGAAACACTGAGATGATCACATCATGTCATTTGGTTGCAACGTGATCAACAAACTACTAATTAGTTGAGTCCATCAAAATCAGAGAGAATTCTACTCATAAGACCACTGATAATAATTATGCTGAAATACCAAAATATAAAGGTGTTATTTAGCATTCAGTTGAAAGAGAGAATAATGCTGACATTTCTCTGGTCATATTATCAAGAAGAGATATTTTAGTGTGATTATCTAATCTAACTAATTGACTACTAATTTTATCATTGAACTGAACTTGGTGAATCGATGCAGTAAGTGAGCTTGATGTAGATTACGCACACATCGTGAATTTGTTGATGTTGTTATTGTAGTTATTGATACACAATAGAATATATGAATAACCACATTCCATTATGACCAGTTTATGTGCACTTTTAGTACCAAATTATTGAGTGAACCAGACGAAGAGAACACCAATCGGATGAGTTCATCCATTAATTCATTTCACAAATTTCATTAGATCTCATAGGTCCGTATCAGTATATAAACATGAGGTGTTTCTTATGTGATCAACTATCCACTCCATTCCAAGTTCACTTCATTTGACAGACGAAATGCGTTTATCAACGATGTGCAACATCTTATGCCTCACAATGCTCGTCACATTCATTCCCGTAAATACACGTACGTTCCAAATATTTCTTTGATATACATTATATTATGTGAGACTCTTATTGTTAAGAAAGTGATTTGTTCGGGTAAGTGACATTTGTGCTTGTTGAATGTGATTCCGTGAAATTAAGCTGAGTAATTAATTTGACGTGAGAATAACATGGTTTGATTGTGAATGATCTAGTCAATGAGGTTGAACAGCTACTTAGAATAGGAGAATACTGTTTATTGAATATTGGCAGTGAGTTATGAGTATCAATGTTACAGTATTTGGAATGGAACATCAATTGTTAGTTTGACTTGTTTTATTGGGTCTCGTGAATCTCTATTCGTAGTATCACTGTAAATTGACCAGTCGTTTATCTTTCTCTAAATTTAGGTTCAGGGGATTTATCTGGTGATACCAAGGACACGAATGAAGAAAAGTACGATCAATATATACCTACTAATGATGATGACTTTTATGAGGAATCTGACGTATACTCTTATTGGCCATTTCACTGAATACGGTAAGTAATCTTTGTTGAACTGATCCAACTAATATACAGTCATCAGTTAACTATCAACCCATTTTAATGACACGATATGTCGTCCGATTATCATCTTCCTAATAGTCAACAGGAATTTACGAATCGTAATTATTTGCGTATCGTCGCATTTGGTTGGATCACGGACGAACTCAACTGTTATTACTCACACACACATACACAAACACACACTTTCAGTTTCCGATCAAGTGAAAATGTGATACTTCAAACTTTCAAACACTAATTTCACTTGACAAGATGAATGCTACTCAGTTCGACTAGTTTGTCAATGTAATTCAATTGAACTTAATCATAGTCATGTACACATTTTACTTGTACTGAATCATCGTGTATCCTTCTCTCATTTTGTTTTCAGGTATCATGAAGAGTTCTGAAGACTGTTTGTTCGTCTGTTTTATTAATCTGGTTACAGTAAACACATTTGTGTATTTTTGATATTGAATTGAAATGTAATAAACATGAATGAAATACGTTGTTGCTTTTCTTGATTGACGATCAAATAACTGACTTTGAGGAACAGAAATAGCATTTTGTTGTTACTAGGTTTTGTTCATTCACACATCTGTGTCACAAGTCGTCAGTGTTGAATGACTGTCTAGTGTGATGTGTATGCTGACAACTGTGCTACTTCTTCTCACCAATCGACATCTTCACTGTCTTCATCTTTGAATGACGAGAGTTGTGTGAGATATGTCAAAATAAATGATCGCACTATGCTGTATTATTTCGTGGGATTGTGCTATGCTATGCGGTGAGAGACCCCAAAGTGCAATGTCATCCACGACCTTCATGTTAAGAAATCACCTTGTGATCTAGCAATATGTTCGCGTTTTAGTAAATAATCTTAGACACTGTACATTATAACCCTCTCCATGATTCGTGAAATGACTAGGTTGATATTCGTCGATCGGTAATAAGCAGAGTTCTCTCTTTTCCCAGTGTTGTATTTCGTGACAATGTAGTTGGTCTTCCAGTTACTTGAGTATACGTCTGTATCTGATATCATGTGAAATATGTGAAGAAGTATAAGTGGTGCGTCATTACATCGTTTAGGAAATACAAGGCGGATACCGTCGGTTTCTATACCTGTTTTTGTCTGAAGACAATAGATTGCTCCATACACACTTTAGCACCGAATGATGCATTTTCACATTTACTAGATTAAAGTGTTGTATTGTTGAGGTGATCAGGTCGCTGTCCATTGAGCTTTGTCAAATGGTTACTAAACATTTCTCATATATCCATAGAGCAGTCCTATATTTTGTCATCCCACATTAGAAATGCAATATCTTTTGGTTTGCACCCACGTTTACACAGATAAGATGTTAGGTTATTTGTGTTCGAGCCACTTCTTAGAGACTCAATTTCAATTCAACTCTCACTCCAAACACATAGCACTCCAACAGATTCACACGTACCAATCAACATCGAGGTGAACATAACAAGCTGTGAAACATATTTGGGGTAATTCGAACACTTCACTTGTATCTGAAGTTTGTGCTGATGATGTCGTTCAGAAGAACGATGAAAGCTGCACGACCAAACAATCATGCTCAGTGAACAAAACTCCACCAAAATGTAAGGAGCATGTTTACCAATGTGGTGTAAACTTGTATGAACGATAAGGTTTGTGATTCATAGTTAATGATTCAGGAAAAGGATTAGATTTATAGTTTTCATCACGAACTAACATCAGTTAAAATGCCAAAACGCTATTTAGCCAAATGAATGAGGGAATTTTGCACCATATTCCGAGATCTGTTGTCGTTAATCTGATTGATTCGTCCATAAATTACAGTCTCACCGAGTAATAGAATATTTGTAATCAGTGTAAAATCTATCCTTTGTTTTCAGTAATATACTAATGTGGTGCTAAAATATACAAAAGCGAATTTGTCACAATATCAAGATATTCTGTTTTAATATTGAATGAAATTTAGGGGGGGGGAGAGAGAGAGGAATGATGAATGGGATAATAAGTCCGGTACTGTTTCATATTGAATATTTGATTATTTAAAAGTCAAACAATGTTCATTGTTCATACATCTTTTGTGACGATGGACCACAGGTGAACTCGAGGAAGCTGTGAGAGGCTCAGAAGTACTCGAATATATTCTATCCAAACACCTTTTGGAAGAATATTCTAGAGTTCTTATGTGTGGCTTCCTGATTGGACAATGTTAATAACCCCCTGGTGGAATGTAATGATGATTTTGTTCTTACTAAAAACTATAAATACCTGACAATTTTGTACTATAATTGACACTGTCTGGGAATAATATTGCTTTCATTAGTCTCCTTTCATCTCATTGCTACTTGGAAGGGTTCTGGCGTTCTAGTACTCACGTTATACGCAGTATATGAAGAACAACCTTCTAGATATAACGTCTTTTGGATAAATTAACTTGATGGACTGATATAAATCTTGAATAGTTTTTTAGTAAGAGCCTATGGAGATAAGTTCACAACTACTTAGTTAAAAATACAAAACACATTGTTATTATTATTATTATTACTGTTATCTGTAATTATCTGTTATATAATAGTTGCATAATTACATTGTTCATTTTGTGATATATGTAGTGAAATATATTGAAGATTTATTTATTTATTTATTTATTTAAACACATAAACATTAGTACAAGAAGGCACCAAACAGATATAGATAGGGGCTGCGATACTGCCCGGGTGCCCAAACCGAAGTAGATGGTTTTCTTAGGGGACCACACTCGGACCTCTGACCTGAAGGTCTGATGCATAAGGGAGTGGAGCAATGTTCGTTGGTAGCCGGTCATCAACAATTGGTTCATACGCCAGTTGTTCCATCAGGATCCTGAATCCCATGTACACTATTGGTTTGGAATCAGGGTTTTCCAACTCCTCTATTTGGATCCTCCATATCCACCAACTTGGTTAAAGCTCCGTACATTCACTTTTCGTCCTCTCAATTCCCTAAACAACAGTAATGCCGCGAGAAGGCAGTGAGTGGAATTTCTCTGGCGGTGGTTGTATGCACATGGCTAATTGAGAGCATTTCGAGAGGGTGAGTTAACTCTCCTCAATATCAGCAATACCAGGGCGTTCGGAGGTATATGTAATAAAAAGTGAGAACTATTTAATCCGTACATATTATCATTTCAAATGGGCATTTACGCAAATGTATTTCAGTTTCATTTCAATGTTGAGTTTGTTAGCTGAATCACATCAGCTCTAGCTGTATTGACTTTAATATGAACAACTATTAGTGTTTCACAATTGTGAGTTTACTAATATACTGATAACTGTGTTTTTCTGAACACATAAATTCAAGACGAATGTTTTAGTCACTCTAGCTTAGGTCGAGCAACATATACGTTAAAAGATTCAATCCAGTTTGCTGATAGACTGAATCGTACGAATGTTGCCAATAAGTTCATGGTTTCTTTTGATGTAACATCCTTGTTCACCACTATACCACTATTGGCAAAAACTATTGATATAATTTGTCAGAATTATGATCTCCTACCTTTACCAGCCCCAGAATTCAAAAAATCTACTATTAATGTGCACAACAGACATTCATTTCCAGTTTAATAACACCATATATCGTCAAATCGATGACGTAGCAATGGAAAGTCCACTTGGTTCAATTATGGCAGATATTTTTTATGGGTTATCTTGAAATTACGGTGCTTAAACAGGAGATTAGCGAAATGACGGAATACTCCAGATATTTTGATGACACGTTTATCGTCTGTAACAAAAAACAGCATACAATCCGCTTGTTAAAACTCTTTAATAATGCTCATCTTAACAAACAACTTACTATAGAACACGAACAGAATGACATGTTCCACTTTCTTCATGTTGCCATGAAATGTAGTAGAGATGGGATTGTTCAACGTTTGGTTTATCGAAAAACTACTTAGAATGGTCTTTACCTGAATTTCAACAATTTTTGTCCAATCAGTTACAAGAAGGCATTAGTTGAAACACTACTTTACAGGGCAGAAAGGATACGTACCACTGACAAACTGGAAGGAGAATTGATGAACGTGGAAAAATACCTACGAGACAACTTTTACCCACAAAAGTTTGTTAAAAAGTATAAAAAGCTTAAAGAAGAAAAGACGGAAGTTATTATGGTCAATAAAAAACCACTATCTATAAACCTTAACCTCAAAGGTGATGATGTTGCAAACACAATCAACAGGAGACTGAATACTGCTCTAGCTAGAACTTATCCGTCGGCCAAACTTCAAATTCTATATAAAACAACATGTTCAATAACTCAGCCAAAGATTGATAAGCACCTCTTTCATATTATTGCCAATTATACTTAGAAATAGTGCGAAGTTATAATGTTGATCGATAAGCATCAATGATTCATAAATGATTTCATAATCTTTTCAATTATTTCTAGGATGTTTCACAAACTGAGTTAGAAAATTCAGGTTGACTTCTCTATTCTACATCAATTTTAAAGACGCTTGTTCTAGGCAAAAGCTGTTGAAGTGAAGAGTTAGAGATGGATGATAGATTGTATCGGGTTTCAACTTTTATAAATAATGTCTACACACCATTACTTCTGCATTTTTCTCTAATTATTACTACAACCTATTAATTGATCTGATAAGGTTTATTTCTTCAGTACATACGTTTATAACATTGCAGTTCTTGTTCTAATTATATATGATAGATAATTCCACCTAATTGAATTGATCTTTGACGATTTTATTGATAATTATGATGAAAAATTCACAATTCAATTATACTACTGAAATAATAAAACATTCAAATCATTATCAGTTTAGGGGTTGTGGAGATTGTTAAGTTTTTGATTAAGATCATGAAGCGATTGATGTTAGACCACCATAACCCTTTACTGATAGTTACCATGTGCTCACTAGTGACTAGATTTGTGAGAAAATTCTCGGAGTTCTGGTGAGAAGCCGTGACCAGTGGAGCTAATCTGTGTCGGGTAGAAACAAGTGTCTACCTCAGTACAATGGAAGATGGTCGCGCAACTTCGTGGATTGGTTGAGGTTAGACATTAACACTATTGGATGCCGGCTCAGTGGTCCAGTGGGTTGAGCGTTCCCGCGCGAGGCTGGAGGCCCTGGGTTCGAACCCCGCGGGTGAGGTCGTGGATGTGCACTGCTGAGGAGTCCCACAATAGGGTGAAATGGCCGTCCAGTGTTTGCAGGTTTTCAATGGTAGTCTAACATCAATCGGTTCATGATCTCAATCATAAATTCAAATCACTCATTTGTACAAATAAATGTGTTTTTGTTATTTCAAATTATATTACTAACAATAAAATAAAGTAATACATTTCATTGCGAAAAAGAAGTTTTGAAGGTATCTATGTAATGTTTATTATGGATTGAAGCAATAATGAAAATTCAGTAACATTATGCAACTATGGTGAGACTATAATTTATGGATGACCTTTGAGCGACGCTAAAGTAACCTTGAGAATATCTACCTAAATAAGGGTTATAAACCTGTGTGAAGATTTAAATTAGGATTTTCAGTTGATCGTTAAGGTTATGAATTGGATTTAGGGTTTTTCATCACGAACTAACATCAGTTATAATGCCAAAACTCTATTTAGCCAAATGGAATGAGTAAATTTCAAGCGAAAATCCGAGACATGTTATTTTAAAGCTGATTGATTCGTCCATAAATGATTGTCTCACCGTAACTATTTTATCATAGTACAAATACTCCTAAAAAATGAATGCCACATGAACTTTCAGAAATGAATTCATAACCATTAGATCTCATATTGAGCATTTGAACTTCTTAGAACTTTGATTTGATACAAAATCTTCTAGATTTCCTACTTCAGTTAATGAATGTCATCAGTAATGACCATTCGATCTATATCAAATAAAATAAACATAAAAGATAGAATACAATTCAGCAGTATTATAGGTTCTATGTTGTATGTTTTCTTATATAGAATTTAAATATTAACACCGTTGGATTTATTTGTATTTATTTATTTAAACATATGAACATTGGCACAAGGGGGCACGAAATACATATGCGTCACATAAATCATACGATCTGTGTGAGGGCTGTGATATGGAACGTGTGCCCAAACCGAAAGCAGATGGTTTTCTTAGAGGGGCCACACCCAAAACCTTTGACATAAAGGTCTGATCTACAAGACAGTGGAGCAACGTCAGGAGGTGCAATTCCATGAAAGCCGGTGACCAATAATTGGTTAATATGCTACTTGTTGCATCAGGATCTTGAACTCCATGTACACTATTGGTTTGGAATCAGGGTTTTCCAACTGCTCTATTTGGATCCTCCATATCCGCCAACTTGGTTAAAGCTCCGTACATTCACTTTTCGTCCTCTCAATCCCGTAAACAACAGTAATTCCTCGAGAAGGCAGTGAGTAGAACTCCCCTGGCAGTGGTTGTACGCAGTTGGCCATGTAAGAGCATTTGGAGAGAAAGAGAGAGGTCTGACTCTCTCCACTCTGTGCCGTACTAGAGACTTAGAAGGGTGGGGGCTCAGTAATCTAGAAGTTAAACTTTCAACCACGAGACTAATAAGTCCTGGGTTCAAATCCCTTAAAGTAGGATCTTGGATGCACATTGTTAAAGAGAAGTTTCATACTAGAACGAAACAACTATCCAGTACTTTCAAACTCTTCACAAAAACTTCATTTCTATAAATAAATAAATAAGTAGAATAACATTTATACAATTTACAATAGATCCATCTATATTGAAGTAATCAAGAAGAAGAGAAAAAAAGAAGAAACGTCACATCCGGTATTTAACCATTTTAAAACAATTAAAACTAACATAATTACTCTTCGTAATTATTCAATCATTATGATTATGATTATTTTACTTCCAGAATATGTAACCTCCTACTGAATGGATAAAACAATGTGAATCATTTCCTGATTATAATTTTGAAGATCAACTAAGTTCCGAGTGTTCTTTTGTTCATGTGATTGTATTATTTATGATACGTTGTGTACTGCTACAGAGACTACTGCTGCACTGGCTGTATTCACCTACATTTGTTGGTGTGTATGAGATAAAAGGTTTAGGTCATCTGCAAAGTCCAAATCGTTTAGTTACATCGAAACTGTCCATTGTATTCCGTGTTCACCCTAAGATATAGTGGTCTTCATAATCTAGTCAACCACCAGAAGAAAGATAAACGACGAGAGTAAGCAGCCTCGTCTGACACCGGTACTCACTTGGAATACATCTGTCAGCTGTCCTCCACCTATGAATTTTCACTGTAGTCCGTCGTATGACTTCCGTATGATGTTGACGATCTTCTCAGGTACACTATAGTGTCGATGAGGGTTCCATAGGTTTTTCCTATCCATATTGTCGAATACTTTCTCATAGTCAAGGAAGTTGATGTATAGTGAGGAGTTCCATTCAGTTGATTGTCCAACAGTGATCTGTAGTGTCATCTAACACAGTAGGTCAACAAATGTTGAAATGTTGGCACTTAAAGAAAAGAGCCAGCATAACTTTCATGAAATAATGAGACTTGTAGCGTAGGCTTGTTGTCTGTCTGACTATCAGATGGTAAGTCTACTTTCAAGTATTTTACTCTATATCATTTTAAATTTAAAAATTCATTGGTTAGTTTTTCATAAGTTGCTAGTGTTCCCTCGCAGATGTTTTTGAAGTATTGCTCACGTATAGTGATACTGTTAACTGATTAAAGTCAAATTATATTATTATGCTTCGACACAATAACTGGGAGTTAGATCAACAAATTTTAATTACTTTTCATCTAACTTAGTAATCACGTGCAGGTGTGCGTGTTTAGCACTTTAAGTGTGTGTGAATTACCTGGGAACAGAAACAGAGGTGGATTAGGCTTCGAACCAGAAACCTTGTAGTTGTTTCTCGAGTCTTTTAACCAGTAGGGCATCGCTGACACTAGTTATTGATTATTTTGTGACTTATCGGATATCCTGTTTGACAAGGTGGACTCCTTTCACCAAGTGATCTTTTTGTTTTGTTTTAAAGGTTGCCCATATTCAGTGCTAACAGAAGGACCTATTTCTGACCGCTTTTCTTCTGTTAATAATCGTAGTTTGCTTTTACGTGAGTCTAACCCTTCTATATGTTTTAACTGTGTAATTGCTTCATAGATAAAATCTTAGTTTGTTTAAATTCATGGCAAATTACATTTAGGATAAGTTATTATTTATTGTTCTATGTAAAAGTTTAAAATGGCACTCAATTGTTTCCAAAATGAGGGGAAAATGAGTTTTTAACTCAGTAAGTTTCTACTACTCCTACTACTATTCTTACATTTATCCTTATAATTTCGTCGCACTATACTGTGGTATGGGAAGTTGAACTGATGTGCATATGCGTCAGTTTTTATGCTGCTCATTACTGATGGATTGACTGTTTATACATACAATAAATGCTATTACTCAACCATGATACATAATGCAAGGGGATGTGGTACAACCATTTCTCGGTTTCACATTTTGTTCTTGTTTTTCTTTCTCAGAATATCTATGTTCAGAGATAATGGCTGTTAGACAACTATCTACAATGAAGTCTGTTGGTAAACAAAGTAACGAACATCATTTCATGGATGTGGACAGTTCAGAGGATAATGTAGAAATTCTATCCTGTTTGCAGAAAGCGTTTAAAGCTCTTGGCTTAAAAGTGCCTCCTGATGACTCAGCACCTACTGTTATATATTCTTGTCTTCAAAAAGGTGTAAGTGATTACAAACGGTGCATAGCTTATGCAGATGTTCGTTTCGTTCATGCTTTTTATTTCGGAAGTGTTTTCTAATAAATCCTAATAGTATCGTACATTTAATAATTTGTGTTTGGATAATTTGTGGCAAAATCGAACTATTTACTATTTCATATGACCGGATACTAGTTGCATGAGTAGGATGGTTGGAGACACTTGCAGAACACTACAGTTGTCAAAAGGATGGATAGGAAAGCAACTGGAAAAACTGAGAGGGATCTCCCAGTACAGAGTTCAATGGAGAATGCTGGTGGACGGCATATGCTCTTTGTGAGGGTTAACAGGTGTAAGTAAGTAAGTACAGTCGTCTAACATGTTTTCATTCTTTTCTAGGTGCTTCAAGACAACATCAGGGAATATTAGTGGTTTTTATCTTTTTAACAAATACTAAACTGTCTTTATCATCATTACCGTGTGTCCTCGTCCTTTTGCCGTTACCATTCATTTTTATCACAATATACTTACTTACTTACGCCTGTTACTCCCTATGAAGCATAGGCCGCCGACCAGCATTCTCCAACGCACTCTGTCCTGAGCCTTCTTTTCTATTTCCATCCAATTCTTGTACATTTTTCTCATGTCTGTCTCCGTTTCTCGGTGTAATTTGTTCTTTGGTCTTCGTCTCCTCCTTTGGCCTTAAGGATTCCATGTGAGGGCTTGTCTTGTGACGCAGTTGGGTGCTTTCCTCAATGTGTGTCCTATCGACTTCCAGCGCTTCTTCCTGATTTCTTCCTCCGCTGGGATCTGGTTTGTTCTCTCCCATAATAGAATGTTCCTAATAGTGTCAGGCCAACGGATCTGAAGTATTTTGCGTAGACAACTGTTAATAAACACCTGTATTTTCTGGATGATGGATTTCGTAGTTCTCCAGGTTTCTGCCCATACAGTAGAACTGTCTTGACATTTGTATTGGGCCACGTGTTACGTATGCCTGAACACCGATTACCACGACGTGCAATGCTATCCGGTATTGGAGATGGTTGGAAGAAAGTTAGGGGCGGCCAAACCAAAACGTGGCATCAGTGCTTGAAGACACTAACTTCTAGTCTCAGCCATGTTGGTAGATGCAGACTACTTGGTTGGGGTCCGCGTGACCATCGTAACCAATGGTTGGAGACTCTTGGTGACATGGCTCAGAATCGATCATAGTGGCGTCGGTGTATACACTCTTTGTCTTCCCTTAAACTAAGAGATTAAAATCACTTCATATCTTTCTTTTTCCGAACCAATTCTTTCTTCTTGTACTATATTTCTATATGCAATCTTTCTCTCATATATTACCACCCTTGACCTAACCACTGCTATGAATCCGGTGTTCATCTTGTTGTGCTGATGCGGTATGGCAACCTAGACCGATGCACATATGTGCCTGGTCCTACGTTGTAGCTCACTTGTATTGAAAATCCTGACCTTGGTGTTGGTTGACAGTTGCTTTGAGTTCCAGATGTTCCTCAGTTGTAAATATGCTGCTCTTGCTTTTCCGATCCGCGCTTTTACATCTGCATCGGATCCACCCTGTTCATCAATGATGCTGCCCAAATATGTAAAGGTTTTTACATCTTCCAAATCGTCTCCGTCAATTGTGATTGGATTGGTGCATTCTGTGTTGTATCGGAGAATCCTGCTTTTCCCTTTGTGTATATTGAGACCTACCGATGCTAAGGCTGCTGCCACACTGTTCGTCTTCTCCTGCATTTGTCGTTGCGTTTGGAATAGAAGGGCCAGATCATCTGCGAAGTCTAGATCGTCCAACTGCATCCTAGATGTCCATTGTATCCCGTGCTACCCTTCAGATGTTGACGTCTTCATGATCCAGTCGATCACCAGGAGAAAGAGAAAGGGTGAGAGTAAGCAACCTTGCCTAACACCGGTCTTCACTTCGAACGACTTTGTCAACTGTCGTCCATGCACGATTTTTCAGTGTAATCCATCATATGAACTCTGTATGATATTGACTATCTTCTGAGGCACGCCGTAGTGTCGAAGAAGTTTCCATAGTGTTGTTCTGTCCACGATATCAAATGCCTTTTCGTAGTCAATGAAGTTGATGTCGAGTGATGAATTCCATTCAATTGATTGTTCCACAATGATCCGTAGAGTTGCGATTTGGTCTGTACACGATCTATCCTTACGGAATCCTGCCTGTTGGTCACGAATTCGGGCGTCTACGCAGTCCTTCATCCTGTTTAACAATACCCTGTTGAAGACTTTTCCCGGTATTGAGAGAAGAGTGATGCCCCTGTAGTTATCACAGTTGCTGAGAACGCCTTTCTCTGGTATTTTGACCAAAGTCCTTTTTCCAGTCTTTTGGTACTTGTTCCTCATCCCAAGTCTTATTGAAGAGAATGTGGAGTTTCCTTGCAGTTGCCGCTACGTCTGCTTTCAGTGCCTCTGCTGGAATGTTGTCTAGTCCTGCTGCTTTGCCACTCTGGATTTGTCTGATGGCCATGCTGGTTTCTTCAACTGTTGGCGGGCCAACGTTGATTGGGAGGTCCGTGGGTGCTACTTCGATGTTGGGTGTGTTCAGTGGGGCTGATCGATTCAAGAGTTCCTTGATGTGTCTGTTGAAATATAGTCTACTTCGATATTAGTACTGCTCTGATAATAAACCTGATCCTGAAATTGTAGAGTTGTTATGATGTAAGTACCTAATCTAAAAGATCCTACGTGGAAGTCACGTCATTGTCTACCCTGATTCATTGCAATGTAACAATCACCAATACAAGCTTAGACTAGAGATAGAACAATATATTTAATATGAATAAAAAGCATAAGATAACATTTAACAAAGTCCACGATTGCTAGGCCAAGCCATGCCATCCGACCAATTCGAATTCATTGGATCCATTCTTCCCGCTTTCTCCCTCGTTGGGCTTTTCTCAGCGGCACATGTTCAATATCTATTTTCCTAGGTGTCTCGTGTTCAGCGTTGACTATCGTGTGGTTAGGGTTCAATGCCACCACATGTTCTACCTACCTGTTTTGCTGTTCCTCAGTGTTGGTGATTACTTTGCCTCTTGTTTTTCACTGGTTGTTCTGGTTTACGATAACTTCCAGCGAGCTTCTCTATTGTATCATACAATCATCTCATGTTTCCTTCTCTTGCAGCCTTTTCCGCCGTCGTTGCTAAATCTTCCACATATTTACGTTTGTCGGTTCTGATGCTCCTCTTCACTTGTTTGTTTACTTCTGTGTATTCAGCTTGTGCCTTGGCTTTTTCTGCTCTTGTTCGACTGGTATTGATTACTGCCTTCTTGTTCCTCCTTTCTTGAATCGTATCCAGTGTATCAACAGTGATCCATTCCTTGTGATGGTGCTTCTTGTGACCCAGGACCTCATGACATGTTGAAGTGATTGCCTCTTTGATCCCCTTCCAGTTGCTCTCCACAGTAGTTCCTTCTCCATTGAGTAGATCATGAAAGGCCTGGAACTTGTTGCTGAGGACTATCTTGAATTTGTTGAGTTTGTTAGTATCCTGAAGAAAGGCCGTATTGAACTTTTGTGATATTGTCCGCCCCGTTGTCCAGTGCTTCTTGAGTTTCAATTTCATCTTGGCGACCAGCAAGTGATGATCTGATGCTATATCAGCTCCTCTCTTGGTTCTCACGTCCTCTATAGTCCTCCTGAACGTTTTGTTGATGCAAATATGGTCGATTTGGTTTTGCGTGGTGTGATCCGGTGAAGTCCATGTGGTTTTGTGTATGCGTTTATGTGGGAATACAGTTCCCCATATGACCAGTTTATTGAAGGCACATAGATTTGCAAATCTCTCACCATTTTCGTTCCTTTCTCCCAGTCCGTGTCGTCCCATGATGTCTTCATATCCAGTGTTGTCCGTTCCAACCTTGGCGTTGAAATCTCCCATCAGAATAGTCAGGTCCTTTGTTGGGCACTTTTCGACGATTGACTGCAGCCTATTGTAGAATTGATCTTTAGCGTCTTCATTGTAGTCGTTGGTAGGCGCATAGCATTGGATGATGTTCATTGAAATGCCCTCTTTCTTTGTTTTGAACGAGGCTTTGATGATCCTTGGTCCATGAGATTCCCATCCTATAAGTGCATTTTGCGCTTGTTTAGACAGTATCAATGCAACTCCTTGTGTATGTGGTGCATTTCTTTCTTCATGGCCGGAGTATAACAGGAGCTCTCCTGTAGCTAGTCGTTGTTGTCCAACTTGCGTCCAATGTGTTTCACTGATCCCAAGTACCTCTTGGTTGTATCTTCTCATTTCTGCAGCAATTTGGAAGGCTCTGCCGGTGTCCCACATTGTACGAACATTCCATGTACCTAAATAAATGGTTGCTCTGGTTGTCAGAAGGGGCATCGGCCTCGTAACTTCCGAAGGAATTCGGCTTTCATCATGAGGCGTCATAGTTCTTCTAAATGGAGACCGTCTGACTCCCAGGGCAGAGTTTAAAAGGTTTGAATACTGTTTTCTGGTTAGCGTTTTTTTAGCGAGTTAGTTTTCTACGGGATGGGGGACGCTAACCCCATGCCCAACCCTCCTCCTTTATCCGGGCTTGGGAGCGGCGGTAGCCCCCGGAGGGACTTCAGGCGGAGTTATCACAATATATTCGAATTTATTCCCTGCCATTGGGTTATTCAAACCTATCATCTTTGCAACACTGTTTCTCTTACAGTGATACCTACATTTTCAAGTGTCGAGACTAAATACCAGATTGAGTTTATTGAAGTTTGTCTCAAGATGTGGATGTATATTGTAATTTTCAAACAAACATACATATTTAACTGTGACTGTTTATTCCAGCTTTCTTTGCAACCCTGTAAACCTCAAAGTATTCTGTTGTGTTCTATCGCCTCTTAACTATCACGTGATAAAATCACTAACCAATATCATGTCAAACAGCACTGGTAGGCTGGAGTTAATTCCGATTCCTTGTTGGCCTTCTGTATAGTAGCTTCTCACCTAATCCAGCTCGTTCAGTCCGGAACACAAATATCAACCTCCACTATATGGATCTTATATTTCAGACGTTCTTGGTTATACGCAAGCGGACCAGACCCCATCACACCATAAAATAAAAAATAACAATTATGCAAGATCAAGCTGAAATTGGCTGTGTGTGGGAGGCAGTAACTGATAAATTGAGAATAACTGGAGAATAGTAAATCGTATAACATTAGCCAATAAGTCAAATGAAGGCTTATGATGAAAGGAATGTAGATATATATATAATCTAGTTACTTAATAATTATCCGGTAAGAATATACGTAACAATAGTCTATAAAAACCCTCAGCAGTTACCATTCATTTATTTTTTGTTCGGTTATAACATATTGGAGTCTAGGGGTTCCATAGATCAACTCGTTTTATAGTGAAATCGAAGGCTTATTCGTTAAAGCACTCTGCTTTGAACTATTAAGTCTCAGGTGCGAATTGCAATAGCCATTTGGACAACCGAATGATATCGAAAGTTATAGCTTGCAGTCGAATACATAAATATGTCAGCCAGTCAGTCATAAGCAACATCAAACTTTGAATCTGCTACACCTCACCAACATAAGGAGATACAATTAACATGATGAATACCGAAGTAGTAGAATCTATACGGGATACGTCACATTGATTTTTTTATGATTAACGTTTATTAACAACGTTGTTTTCGACGGAATGCGGTTACTAACCCCGTGTCGGTCCCGGTTTTGGACCGGAAGTATCCCTAAAAGGGCTTCAGGAGGAGTTACATTATTTGAGCATATACATAATTCTTCTTATAAAGCAGGAATCTAACTTCTTGACTGGCACAAATGATATCCATGTATTCTGTTTTTCTCTCGAATAACTCTGTCAGGGTATGAAAATAACATCACAGGTTGTTTATTGATATCCTGCCACTTACTGTGGTAGATAGATGAGAACTACGTAGTTGGGGGTGGGTCCTCATGACCATCGTAACAAACAGTTGAAAATGTTTGCTGAGGTGGTTTAAAATCAGTCATACTAACAAAAATGCATTTAGTCTTTTCCCTAAACTACTTATACTTATTTCACAAATCCATTTTTTCTCGAATCATATTATATATGCTCAGTATTTTCTACCACAACTGATACTGTTACTCCTACTACTACTCTAGCATTTGTTTTAATAATTTCACCTCACTATACTGATAAGATGTGGTCAGTTGAGCCGAGTGAGTTTAGTGCTAGGTACTACACTGTTTGAGGAGGAAGTCGAAAAAGGAAGTTTAGAGGTGAAAGTCGATGTAGGAGGAGTAATAAGAAGTGAAGACAGAGGTGATTAGGAATACAATGGTCTTGAGTGCTGTTAGAGGTATGAGGGTGGTTATCACTTCCCGGTTGCCCACACCGTGGAAGGGTTGTTCTGGAGGTACCTGAAAAGGAAATTGGATTAGAGATGGTCTTAGTAACCTGGGAGCGTGACCGCAGTGCCCAAGGGACAACTGCTTGAGGTCGGTAACACACGGCCTTTTTATGGGTAATTTTTGTGTTAGCTCCGTACTTTTTGGGACCTTACCACCGGAGACGGATATCCGTGGGATAAGGCGAGGTGTGGATTTTTAGGGTCGACCTTTTCTAACCCCACCCCTCCTTGTGGGAAGGCAGCATCGCTGTCATGCTGGTTGTCTGAAGGAAACACCTTACTGCTTTCACACCTCTGTACAGTCAGCAGTACAACTTCCCCTTCGGACCTCGGGTTTGTTGCTTTTAGTCTTAGCGCTCTTCAACCGACCTGTCTGACATGGTAGGACCTTGAGGAACGGTTGTTCCAGCCAGTATAGCTCGGTTGCTTCATCACGATAGGCAAGCCCGACCACCACGTCAAAGTAGCAACAACGGTCGGGGTCCGCGTGACTGTCGTAACCAATGGTTGGAGACTCTTGGTGACATGGCTCAGAATCGATCACAATGGCGTAGGTGTATACGCTCTCTATCTTCCCTTAAACTAGGAGATTAAAATTGCTTCATATCTTTCTACGAACTAATTCTTTCTTCCTGTACTGTATCCTTATATGCAATCTTTCTTTTATTTATTACCACCTCCGAATTAACTGCTTTTATGAATCCGGTGTTCATCTTGTTGTGTTAATAAGGTATGGCAACTTGGACCGATGCATAAATGTGCCTGGTCCTACGTTGTAGCTGACTGTCTGACTACACTGTTTATGAATGACTGAGTATGGTTGATATATTTGTGGCGTAAATCCGTTAAGATTAATCAATAAGACTGTATGTTAAGATATAGTTATGGAGAGCTTAGGAGCCTCATACTAAAACAATATACATGCTCACTGCCTCCATCGCTGTTTTCCACTGGTTATCCAACTGAAGTCAGTTCATGATGTAAAATATCGTACGGTTGGACGTTCTTCCAAAACATATATTTGTTTGCATTACTATTCTTCTATTAGATATCCGATTGTCTTTCAAGATGCCCACCCAATCATATGGGGAAATCAGTTATCCCACTGACTGGTATCAGTGATCGCCAATGGTCACAGATAATGCGTATCGCCGCATTGCTACAACAACAATATTCCAGTCGCCAAGCTACTCTTTTAAAACGTTTAGATGTTACTGTACAAAGTTTTAAATGGTCAGATAAAGCGAAAGTAAGTTGATGTCTTAATGTTTTGGTTAAGTTTTTTAAAAATAATTTTCTATAATTTATCATAATAATACTAATGTACAAAAATAACCCGTGAAAAACAAAATTCATTTTTAAAAGTGAAGATAACACTTATTAAGTTGAATGTTTTCAGTGAGTTGGATTTCACCGTTTGTGATAGTAACCATTGGAGAATCACTAATGGCTCCCATTTTAAGCCTTGCCTGATAAGACCTCATTTTATTGAGTTACACGATCATCAGAACTCAATCTGGAGTGCCTTAATAAAATAACGGATGATAGTATAACGCGTATTCTTTGAAGTATTATCATTTTGAGATGTGATCATAAGCATTGAATTTCAAGTCCGAGTCCCAAGTCGTGCTACTGATTGTAATTGAGTAGGTTTGCAGTAAAACATTTGCAGCAAACAATTGGCTTCTTCAGGCACACTGCATTATCACAGATAAAAGAAATGGTCATATGATCTCACTCTTGTTATGTGATTTTCGGGTGTTGATAGAAGAGCTTGAGAAACTAGGGAGTTAGCACTCTAAAATGTTATGTTCTTGTGGCCTGTCAGTTATCATTGCCAATTGAGGACACCGACTTACTGACCAGGCCAATAACACATAAACCTGTATAAGCAGCCTAGAGTCCTTTCTGAGTTCTTATTGGTCCACCACGATAGTAGCTTGTCTCCTAACCCAGCCGGTTTTGTCCAGAACACCAATATCAGCCTCCGTTATACGAATAATATATTTTAGACATACTGGGTTTATATATAAACAAACCAGACCGCATCATACCATAAATAGAAAACAACAATTATACAAGATAAAGTCAAAATTGGCTGTGATTGTGACTGTCACTAATAAATTGGAAATATCTTAAGAATGATAAATCCTTTAATAATAGTCAATAGGTCCAATAAAAGCTCATAATAGAAGGAATGTGAATATACATATAATATAGTTATTTAATAGATACAAAATAAGAATATATATAACAATAGTTCACAAATAGATCCTAGCGGTTACTATTAACTTATTTTCTGTCCAGATATAACACAAAACCCAAAACACTTACATAAAGTTCATATGTAACCGAGCTCTTTAATTTTGCGGTCAAACTTTCAGGTCGATATGATAATCAATGATGATTTAATTCATTTTCAGATTTCCCAAAAAATATTTCACATAGTAAAGATATTTAGGAAATCCAAGACACATATCTCTCCTAAGACAATGCAGTTCACATTTTTATTCCTGAAAATTATCTCATGGGACACCAAATAGTGAAGTAACCATACCATTAACACCCACTGTCAAATAAAATAAGTCGATCTGTTAAAATACATACAACCACAGCTGCCTATAAAACCTAGTCGTCAACGGAAATCCATTAGTTCGAATCTGTAATTCATCAGTGAAGTAGTTGAGTGTACTAGCCCTTTAATTTATGTTGGAATTTCCGTTACGCCTAATGAATAATGGGTTACTAGTATTTCTGAATATGGCTTACGTGGCTTTTACTAACCTGTATTCAAATGGCGATATCGGTTTCCGTATTTAGAAGATTCAAATCATGCTCTACTTCGAACATGTATTTATTTGCGTCTTACTGGGCGGAGAAAAGCTATAGCAAGAAAACTCCTTAGAGTTCAACCTAATCGATTAGGAAGTTAAGCATATACTCCAGACATAATTAAAGAAGTTGTTCAACCATGAAAGTGATATCCATCTTGAGATAGCTTGACGTGATATCCAAAAACTGTAGAAACAGTAGTGATTTCTACAGGTAATTTAAACAAAGGTTAAGAAAAGTTCGGGGATTTCGGCGGGATCTGTCGGAGTGTGATAGATGCTCAGGAAGCCATCTCGTCTGGCTCCGAACACGATGACGAGTGGAGTCAGCTTGAATGTGGGTTAATCAAGAGCTTACACAATAATCGTGAGTAGTGGTGGTTTGTGAAGGCAGAAGAAATGGAAAAAGCAGCAACGATATGTAGCAGCAGACAAATGTCCAGACTTATCAAGCAAATGGGTATTGGATTTTTGGTTTTTAGTGAGACTATCTCAGATATAGACGGTAATTTTATTCATTCTCAACCCTGGTAATCGAACCGATGTGCAGAACACTTTAAAAGGAACAGTTCAATCGGCCTTCAATCACACAGTTACCCAATATCTCGAAGTGACCTGAACGTCAAACTTATGTAAGTCCTCCGACTCTTAGGTTAAAAGGCTATAAGTAGTCGAAAGCACAATAGAGTTGCCCCTAAATGCCCTGGTATGGCCGAGAGTGGGGTGGGCCCTCCCTCTCGAAATGCTCTCACAGGAACACGCGTATACAGCCTTTGCCGGGGAAGTCCTACTCACTGCCTTCTCGTGGCGGGGGTGTTGTTTACGAAAATGAGAGAACAAAAAGCGAATGTCCGGCGCTTTAACCGGATTCCAAACCAATGGTGCACATGGGCTCCAGTATCCTGAGGGAATAAATGGTGTCAGTCAGTCAATAACAACGTAGAACTTCGTACGTACGTGTAGCAGTTCGAGTTGCCACACATTAGCACAGAGATGCAGTTGTCGATTCAAATCCCGTAGTGGTAGAGGTAATAAGAGTATAAGCAGTATTCGGAAACATTAGGGCTTGAAGATGTTATTCAAGGAGTATAATACAGTGAAATAAATTTGGAAAGAGAAAAAAGGAACATGAAGAATTCAGACTAGAATTTGGGAGAACATAAAGCGTGGATGCACCTGCGCCATTGCAAACGGTTTTGAGCCATGTCATTCAGGGTCCCTGCTTCGGTTTGGGCACCCGAGCAGTATCACAGCCCACACACACAAGTATGGTGTGGCGCATATATATTTGGTGCTCTCTTGTACTGGTATTTATGTGTTGAAATAAATAAATACATTCAGGGTCTAACCATCAATTTCTGTCATCTCGCGGACCCCAACCAGGTAGTCTACACTTACCAACATGGCTCAGTCCACTTGTCAGTGACTTCATGGGTTTGTGCTATGTTTTGGTCTGACCGCTCCTAGCTTTCTTCCATTCTACTCCTATACCATTGAAGATCGCATGTCAAGGCAGTCGGTGGTTGGGCATACGTAACACGTGTCTCAGTCATCTCAACTGATGAAGTTTCACTACTTCATCAATCGCTTTGCCATCCTTACCTAGTACCCGTTTCCTAACAACCACATTAGTTACTCGACGGTCCCAGGATATACGAGCAATGTTTCCAAGACACTTATGATTGAATGCCGCCTTAAGGTCGAGAAATACTACGATTATGGGGCGTCTGAATGTATGTCTGTGTTCTAGAACCTGACGTAGTGTGAATATCTGATCTATACAACCACGTCCAGGTCGAAAACCAGCCTGATTTTCTCTAGTCTGTTCTTCACGAGCTTTGGTTAGGCGTCGAAGTATTATTGAAGCTAATATTTTAGACACTATATTAGTCAAACTGATTCCTCTGTGATTGTCACAAGAGGACTTTTGTCCTTTCTTATAGACTGGCACAATCAGTGATTGAGACCAGTCAGATGGGATTTCGTCCAGTTCCCAAATTCTACCTAAGACCTCAGTTAATCTCACTGCTAATACTGAACCACCATCCTTAAAAATCTCGGGAGTAAGCCTATCAGGACCTTGTGCTCTCCCTCGCTTCAGATTTCCTATAGCTTTTTCAACTTCGTAAAGAGTCGTAGCACCTACATTAACCTGCCATTCAGGTTGACTAGAGATCGTGGGAAACCGAAGTGTGGTTGAAGGCCAGTTGAACTGATCCCTAAAGTGTTCTGGCCATCGATCCACTCTCCTAGATTGAGAATGTATAATATGTCCATCTTTCTCTGAGATTGTTTCGCTAACAGTCGGGTTCCTAATACAGGTTTCCTTAACAAGTCTGAATAGTTGTCTGCTGTTACCTGTTGCCGCTGAATAAATGGCGTGTGAACCAATCGTTGGTCACCGACAACCATGGGACTGCATCTCCTTACTATGCTCCACTGCCTTGTGGGTTAGACGTTTAGGTCAAAGGCTCGGGGTGTGGTCCCCTAAGAAAGCCACCTGCTTCGGTTTGGGCACCGGTTCAGTATCACAGCCCACGTACAAATATAGTGAAAATAATAACATTTACTGAAAACTCTATTCTCGCTCCGATTTACAGTCAAACAATTCACATTATTATTATTACGTCATTTATTCACTCTCTTTTATTCCCACTTTATATATTCTTATTTTTCGACTTATACAGCAGCTCGCCTATGGTGGAAGCTCGGTTTTATCTAAACGTTCTCGAGTCACTGCCTGGTTGAAAATTGTATGCTACCACCAAATACCAATACTGAAGCAGTTTTTCTGAAACCACGTGCACCATTCAAACTGGCTGCCTTCAACGTTCGCACACTTATGCAGGTCGGACAACAGATAGGGCTGGCTATGTCTTTGGAAAGTCTTAATATCGACGTTTGTTGTCTATCCGAGACCCGTATTCAAGACTCTGGCGAAGTACTACAAATTCGATCTCCATCTGTCGCTTCGAAAAGCTTGTTTTACGTGCGCTTATCCGGGGACCCTGTGGCATCTTCGTCTGGTCTTGCTGGCGTTGGTGTCGCACTAAGCGCTAGAGCTGAGGCAGCACTAGTCGATTGGATCCCCATTAACAGTCGGTTATGTGCTGTTAGATTAGAAAGTTCCATCAAAGTGAGAAGAAATCGGCGTGAGAAACGATGTCTTTTCGTCATCTCCGCCTATGCCCCGACAGATTGCAGCCCGGATGCAATCAAGGATGAGTTTTACCACCAGTTATCTGTTCTTCTCCAGAAAGTGCGTTCGACAGATATTGTAGTACTAGCCGGAGACTTGAATGCTCAGGTCGGGCGTCTAGGCACAGAAGAGAGTCGTTTAGGTGGCCGATGGGGACTCGTTGGTCGCAGGTCAGATAACGGGGACCGTCTACTGCAACTTTGCACAGACCACAACCTGTTTCTGGCTAGCACTAACTTTCGGCACAGTCATCGCCGATGTGCCACCTGGCGTCCTCCCTCTGCATCTCAAGCCTGGACTCAGATTGATCACATCGCGATCAGCTACCGCTGGCGTGGTTGTGTACAAGACTGCCGCTCCTTTTGGAGTACCTATCTGGACTCTGACCATGCCTTGGTCTGCGCCAATCTTGCCTTACTTTTCAGTGGACAACGAAGTGACCGCCATCAACGGATTGATGTTAGCAAGCTGGTTGCAACTTCTGTTGCAAGTAAGTATCGAACCGAGCTAGCCTCTAGGCTAGCTACCACTCCACCGAAAAGTATAGATGAGCATTGGTTGCAATTGCATGACGCCATGAAAATGGCGGGAACAGTCAGTTGTGGGTTTGCGAAACGTCCCGCTTTAAGCACTGGGTTTCTTCTGGTTCCTTACAACTCATTGAAGCCCGTCGGTCTACTCCGGGTGACCGTGAGTTTGACCATAAACGAAGGATGTTACGTAAGGAAATTGGGCAAAGCTTGCGTAAGGACCGAGAAGCCTGGTGGTCGGAGCGTGCTAATGAGCTGGAAGCAGCAGCTGCATCTGGTAACTACCGGAAGCTCTTCCAACTCATCCGAGCCACTGGCAGCAAGAAGTCTGGTGTGAGTGAGGATGATGGGATGCCAATCACTAACATCCATCGACGTCTTGGACGATGGGCAGAATTTTTCGAAGGGCAGTTCAACTGGCCTGCTGCTCCGGCAACATCGGTCAGACTGTCCTGCCCTCCATGGCCGGTGACGACTGATCCACCAAATGAGGAGGAAGTCCGCAAGGAACTCCAACTCTTGAAGCGTTACAAATCACCTGGCCCAGATGACTTACCTCCGGCTCTTTTTAAAGATGGTGGTGACTTTTTGACTAAGGAATTGACGACGTTGTTTACAAAGGTTTGGGAACTAGAGAGTGTACCAACGTCATGGAATGAGTCGATAGTTGTCCCTATCTTTAAAAAGGGTTCACGTCGTTCCTGTAACAACTATCGGGGGATAAGTCTACTTCCGATTGCGTCCAAGCTATTGGCTTCCGTCATACTTCGTAGGTTGTTCAAAACCCGAGAAAGATTGACTCGCGAGGAGCAGGCTGGGTTTCGTTCTGGTCGAGGATGTATTGATCATATCTTCACCCTCCGCCAAATGTTAGAACACCGCCATACTTATCAAAGGCCAACAATCGTAGTGTTTCTTGACATCAGGGCTGCCTTCGATTCGTTGGATAGGACTGTTCTCTGTGATTGTCCATTGAAGAAAGATGTACCGGAGAAGTCTATTAACATGTTAATGGCCCTATGTACAAACACCTCAGGCAGATTGAGGGGATACAACCATCTCTACATCATTTCATTCGAGCAGTGCACAGTTTCATAAGGCTCGATTGGCTTTCTCCAAATTTTGTCACTTGTGACATAGGCGAGATATCCGTCTTCCAACCAAAGGAAGGGTTTACTCTGTAACATTTCGCTACTTTGTAAGTGGGAAATATTGGCATTAAGATCAGAGGATATTCGTAGGTTACTAGTATTCGATCGTAGGTGTCTACGAAGCATTACTCGTGTGTTTTGGGGCCACAGAATAAGCAATGCTTGGTTTAGGAATTAGATATTATGTGACCATCCACTGAGGTGGTTGGGATTGTGCTACGTATGCGTAACCACCGTCTACGCTGACGGACGATGTTTTTTGGTGTAGTAGGCTTGAAGAAGGGTAAGGGCGTCCGAACTGAAACATTGTGTCAGTCGATAAAGTTATTGCCAACTAGACTGAGCCATCTTAATAATAAGTACAATGAACAGCTTGGGTGGAACTGGACAATTTGGACTTGAAAGATGACCTAGCCCTTCTATCCCATACACCCCAACCAATTCAGGTGAAGGCAACTTATGTAGCAGTAGCCTCTGCATTAGTAGGCCTCACCAAATACAACACGGAGAACACCAACCCAATCACACTTAATGGAGAAACTCTGAAGGATGTGGAATTTTCCATGTACATGGGTAGCAGCATCATCAATAGACAAGGAGGATCGAATGCGGACGTAAAGGCAAGGACTGGCAAATCAAGGGCGGCATTCCTATAATTGAACAACATATGGAACTCAAAGCAACTGTTTGCAAGTTAATATCAAAACCCCGCCAAAATCACCCACCTGAGTTACAAATCTTCTCCACCATCTCTTAATATCAAAATTAGAATCTTCAATACGAATGTCAAGATGGTTCTACTGTACGGACCTGAAACTTAGAGAACTACAACCATCATCAAAAAGGTACAAGCATTTATTAACAGTTGTCTACACAAGATACTCGATGACCGATGTTGACTGGATACCTGTCATATCTAGAGCTTAGATTCTTAATATACCGCGTTCGTACCAGCTTCTACATTGTGACTGATGTAAGAACGAGTATGCTGGCCAGCGATCCCCTGCCTATTGTTTGATGGTCAGGAAACAGTCTGTAAATGTAAATAATTTACTGATATCTTCGAAACATTGTTCGTGTATAATAGAACAATCGGATAAGTAGTGCTAAGTGTTAAAGGGAGGGTACTAATATGGGAATGGTAGACTATTAGTGAGGGTATGGGATTTCACAGACCAAACTGGTTAAGATCACAGTATGTGTCCCATCGGTTGGTGAATTAATTGACAGTTATAATATCCGAAATCCCAGCCTAGGTTCCATTCCGTAATCGTAGCTTATAATTGGGAAGTTTAGTTGAGCTGTGTCAAATTGAACCGATCTGTATTTGTATCAGGTTCTACAGTTTTTATAGCTTGTGTCAATTACTTCCATATTTTTTAAAATACGATTCTCACCAGGATTTTTGTTTAAAGTACTACTTTAATTTCTGTTTTTTACTCTGAATTTTCGTAATGTTTTTCTTATCTGACAGTCTAGTTTGGATAAAATCACTACTGTATATAATCCAATCCGTGAGAGAATGGGTTTAATTCCATATCCTGGCATTCCTAATGTCTTAGCTGTACGTGACAACATGATATTGCAAATTGAAAAGACAAGTGGTACAAGTGCACGTCGTTATACATCGTGTGAATTGAACAAAATTTTAATTGGTAAAGTAAGTGTAGTTGTTGACAATTAATGACGACAAAATGTGATTTATTTTTTATTGTCATTGCTCACTGGTTTGTATTGTTTCTGGGTTTAATCATCATATCCAATGCCTCACAAAGTACTATAGATCTTTTTCATTTACACTTGTTTAACAGGTACGCGACATTCATAAAGTTCTGAAGGACAACCAATGAGTGCTGACCTGTACATTGGGAGGTTCTCAAGCTATTGAGGGTTCACACGAGATCGAATTTGTGTGAAACTAATGGATTCGTGATGAATCACGACAGCCCGCCTGGACATTCAAAGATGCTTATCCTGAGGGTTTCTGGTCCCATAATTCGGGCAGTACGCCTTATGACCTCTCTATTAACCAGACTTAGCTCCTTGCAACTGGTTTCTCTCCATTTGTTAGATGGTTAAATGCCGACATAGGCGAAGCAAGGTGCGAACGTAGTACCTCTAACGGTTGAAATTCGAACGTTCTACGTTCACTTTAAGATGATTATATCTCTTTCAATAATGAAATCTGTCGACCATGGTAATATTTGTCTCTTTTGGTTTCATGTGAATTACTGAGTTAAAAATAACACTCAGCTTGTCATCCTTGGAAAAAAACTTCGAATACACTATTGGAATTACTTTTGAAAATCAGTGTTTCTATAGCTGATACATACAACCGCTAATTCTGATACTTCACTTTACCACAGTTGCTAAAGCCTTTTTCTTTCAACTGAGAATAGTACTGATCTATTATATATTTTTTGTCTATTTTATGGGTCCCTGATCGAGGTGGTAGAGCATGGGGATTGGAACCGCCTCCACCTGAAATGCCTGCTTTTAAACAACGTCATCCAGATGGGGGTGTTGGAACACAGAGAGGTGGTCGCGGCGGTGGTGGTGATGGTCGTTATGGCAATCGTGGGGGTGTTCAGGGTGGTACTAGTGGTAAGCGTTCAGTTACTCTTCTGTATACGTAGTTTGTTTAAATTCTGCGTATGTATTGACGTAAACCTTTTATTGTCTTTTAATGGAGCATTACTTTTAAATGATTTATTCTATAGGATATTGCTGAAATGAAAAACAGTGATAGCAATATTGCCAGTTTACTCAACAATTTACGGTTTGCAATCTATAGTCTATTCAACTAAATCACTAATCATACATGCTTGTATAAACATGGTAACATATCATGTAGTCTTGAATAACTGTTCGACTGCAGCTATTGGACAGTTGAATAAATTTAATACAACTAGACAATTGTTAATCAGTAGTTGAACATGCCGAACATATGACTTTGGATGAAGAGCGTGGTTTCTAGGAGGACATCTAAGTCGAAGTTAAACAAGTGATGTGACTTCGCAAATAAAACAGTAGGATTCTATTTATTAGGCCTCATGTGTAAACTTCACTCGATCTATTTTGATCCAACTAGTTGGACAGTGTTACAACTAAATCTCACACAAGAATGTTTTAAAACCAAGTACATGAACTCATATTTGGTAAATGTACTACAGGATTAAAGTCTGTAAGTAGATTGCTTCAATCACTAGACAATAGCTAGACAATTATTTGGAGATTAGGGAGCATATAACTATTGTCTCGTCCCAGTATGAAACTTTGTGTAATCAAACCTAAAATCCTCCAAGCCTTTCGGTGATCACGTTGGTTGTCTAACTTGAACCAATTCCTCATGTAAATTGTTCTCAAATATCAAATTATTTATGGACCCTCTATACCAACCAGTTCGAATTCTTTGTATATTTACATGTACTGTTATACACAAATTATTTGTATGTATCAGTTCTTTGCAAATCACTGTTGTGCTGAACCTCTTTTTGTTTTACATTTCCTCATCATTCTGTTTTTTTTAATGATATTTTTGTTGTCTACGAAATTTCCCGACTTCTATCACCTTTTAGCAAATATCATCGAGATCCCTGCACAGTAAATATCATCCATCCTAAGCCTCATAAACATTTGTATTCAATAATTTGTGAACACTTGCATCTTATTATTTTATTTAAACGCATAAACATTAGTACAAGGATGCACCACAAATAGATAAGCGCCACATAGACCATTCGATTTGTATAAGGGCTGGGATACTTCCCGGGTACCCAGACTGGAGCAGGCAGTTTTCTTAGGGGGCCACACCCGGAGCCTTCAACCTATAGGTCTGATCCACAAGGCAGTGGAGCATCGTAAGGAGATGCAGTCCCATGTTAGCTGGTGACCAACGATTGGTTCATACACCATTTGTTCACTCAGGATACTGGAGCCCATATGCATCATTGGTTTGGAGTCAGGATTTTCCAACTCCCCTAGGTGTACTCTCCGTGTCCACCAACCCGGTTAAAGCGCCAGACGTTTGCTTTTCGTCCTCTCTATTTCGTAACAAACAGTAATGCCACGAGAAGGCAGTGAGTAGGACTTCCCCCGCAGAGGCTTTATACGCGCGGCCATGTGAGAGCATTTGGAGAGGGAGAGCGGACTCTCCCCACTCTCAGCCGTACCAGGGCATTTGAAGGATCGATGATCATTGCTAAAATAGTTAGGAACAATTTATTTAGAAACAATTAAATCATCGTTGTTTGTTCAAACCACAGCTAATAAATCCTGATTACACACAAACACCTTCAATGCAACTGCATACTCAAAATAAATTACTGACAATTTTTCGTTCTGTTTACTGTACTAAAGAAAGTATGATTATCAGCTATAAGAATTTGTATTTCTCATTAGTAATCACCAGAAAAGAATTTGACTAATTCCTGTTAACGTATGAATCCTATAAGCGGGTGCATCGATGATTCCCGACCGTAGCTGCTACCTTGACGCAGTGGTGGTCGGGCTTGCCTATCGTGATGGCCGGACCGAACTATATTGGCCGGAACATATGTTCCACCATGCCAGGCAGGTCGACTGGAGAACGGTAAGACTAAAAGCAGCAACTCAAGGTCTGAGGGCGAAGTCGTACTGCTGACTGTAGGTGGGGGTGACGGCATTAAGGTGTTTCCCTCGGGCAACCAGTATCTGCAGCGATGCTGACTTCTCACGAGGAAGGAAGGGGTCAAAAAAGGTCGACCCTAAAAACGTCACACCTCACCTTACCTCACGGATTTCCGTATCCGGCGGCACGGCCCTTTGAAGAACGGAGCTAACACATTGAAAACCTCCCATGAAAAAGTCGTGCGCGACCGGTCTCAAGCAGTTGTCCCTTGGGCTCTGCGGTCACGCTCCCAGGTCGTCAAGGCCAACATTAATCCAACTTCCTTTTCAGGTTCCTCAAGAAATACCCTCCCATGGTGTGGGTAGCCGGGAAGTGACATCAGCCCTCATACCCGTAACAGCACACGAGACCAAGTTGGTCACATTCAAATCCTTCTTACACCTCCTAATACCTCTCTTATCTCCACGACTAACCCTTCTCGCGTCCCTTTATCACCTCGCACCGCTAGGGCGAACGATTGGAGTACGTGGAACGTTATTTTTGATCTCCTGAAACCACGCTCTAAACTACACGTACGAGCTCTTAACGTCCGAACACTGCCAAATAGGACAACAGGCTTCCTTATCTAGGACTTTAGAATCTCTCACCATCGATGTGTGCCGCGTCTCCGAGACGCGCATACAGGATGCGAGTAGCGTCATTCATTTGACCTCACCATGTCGAAATAACTCCGCCTGTAGCTCTAATAGGGTTACTGCCGGTCCCAAGCCCGGGTAAAGGAGGAGGGTTGGGCATGGGGTTAGCGTCCCCATCCCGTAGAAAACTAACTCGCTAAAAAAACGCTTACCAGAAAAAATTATTCAAACCATTTAAACTCTGCCCTGGGAGTTAGAAGGTCTTCAGTTAGAAGAATTATGACGCTTCATGGTGAAAGCCGAGTTCCTTCGGAAGCCACGAGGCCGATGCCCCTTCTAACAACCAGAGCAAAAATTTTTATAGGTACATGGAACGTTCGAACAATGTGGGAAACCGGGAAGACCAGTCAAATAGCAATGGAAATGAGGAGATACAACTTAGCAGTACTGGGAATCAGCGAAACCCACTGGACCCAAGCTGGACAGAAAAGGCTAGCTACGGGAGAGATGCTGCTATACTCCGGTCACGAGGAGGACAATGCTCCACACACTCAGGGAGTCGCTCTTATGCTGTCCAAAGTAGCACGAAATGCACTTGTAGGATGGGAGTCTCACGGATCCAGAATCATCAAAGCATCATTCAAAACAAAGAAGGAGGGGATCTTAATGAATATTATCCAATGTTATGCACCCACCAATGATAGCAACGACGACATTAAAGATCAGTTCTACGAGCGGCTACAGTCAATCATTGAGAAATGCCAAGAAAGGACCTAACTATTCTGATGGGAGATCTAAATGCCAAAGTCGGAATAGACAACACCGGATATGAAGATATTATGGGACGACATGGACTGGGACAGAGAAACGAAAATGGAGAAAGATTTGCAAATCTATGTGCATTCAACAAATTGGTCATAGGAGGCACAATATTTCCACACAAGCGTATACACAAGGCTACATGGATCTCACCGGACCACACTACAGAGAACCAAATAGATCATATTTGCATCAACAAAAAATTCCGAAGGACAATGGAAGATGTAAGAACCAGGAGAGGTGCTGACGTAGCTTCAGATCACCACCTAGTTGTAGCCAATTTAAAACTGAAGCTAAAAAAGAACTGGACAAGTGGACAAACAGCACTACAAAGGTTCAATACAGCCTTCCTTCGAGATACTGACAAACTCAATGAATTCAAGATAGCTCTCAACAACAGGTTCCAAGCCTTACAAGATCTACTGAAAGAAGAAGAAACTAGTATGGAGGACAACTGGAAAGGCATCAAGGAAGCATTAACTTCAACGTGTCAAGAGGTTCTGGGCCTAAAGAAACACCATCATAAGGAATGGATCTCTATAGAAACACTGGACAAGATCAAAGAAAGGAAGAACAAGAAGGCAGCAATTAACAACAGCCGAACACGAGCAGAGAAAGTTCAAGCACAAGCTGAATACATAGAAGCAAACAAACAAGTGAAGAGGTGCATTAGAGCCGACAAGAAGAAATACGTGGAAGAACTAGCAACGACGGCAGAAAAAGCTGCTAGAGAAGGAAATATGAAACAGCTTTACGATACAACGAAGAAACTAGCAGGGAAATACAGTAAACCAGAGAGGCCGGTCAAAGACAAAGAAGGCAAGCCAATCACCGAAATTCAACATCAGCGTAACAGATGGGTGGAATACTTCGAGGAACTCCTGAATAGGCCGGCTCCAATGAATCCACCGGACATCGAAGCAGCACACATAGATCTTCCTATAGATGTCAACCCACCAACGACGGAAGAAATTAGAATGGCCGTCAGACAAATCAAGAACGGGAAAGCAGCAGGACCCGACAACATACCAGCTGAAGCACTGAAATCAGACATCGAAGCAACCACAAGCATGCTGTACCTTCTATTCAAAAAGATTTGGGAGGAGGAACAAGTGCCAATGGACTGGAAAGAAGGACACCTCGTCAAGATTCCAAAGAAAGGAGATCTGAGCAAATGTGAAAACTACAGAGGCATTACACTACTGTCAATACCAGGGAAAGTCTTCAACAGAGTGTTGCTGAACCGTATGAAGGATGCAGTAGACGCCCAACTTCGAGATCAACAAGCTGGATTCCGTAAGGATCGGTCGTGCACAGACCAAATTGCAACACTACGGATCATCGTCGAACAATCAGTGGAGTGGAACTCATCACTATACATCAACTTCATTGATTATGAAAAGGCATTCGACAGTGTAGATAGGAGGACATTATGGAAACTTCTTCGACACTACGGAGTTCCTGAGAAGATTGTCAACATTATCCGGAACTCATACGACGGACTACAGTGCAAAGTAGTGCATGGAGGACAGCTGACAGATGCATTCCAAGTAAGGACTGGAGTCAGACAAGGCTGTTTACTCTCTCCCTTCCTCTTTCTTCTGGTGGTCGACTGGATTATGAAGACCTCAATATCTGAAGGAAAACACGGAATACAATGGACAGCTCAGAATCAATTAGACGATTTGGACTTCGCAGACGACCTAGCCCTCCTATCACGTACACACGAACAGATGCAGATGAAGACAGCCAGTGTAGCAGCAGTCTCTGCATCAGTAGGCCTCAGCATACACAAAGGGAAAACCAAGGTCCTCAAATTCAAGGTGGAGAACAGCAATCCAATCACTCTTGATGGCGAAACTCTGGAAGATGTAGAGTCCTTCACATACCTAGGAAGCATCATCGATGAACAAGGAGGTTCAGATGCAGACGTAAAGGCGAGGATCGGCAAAGCAAGGGTCGCATTCCTACAATTGAAGAACATATGGAACTCAAAACAACTTTCAACCAATATCAAAGTGAGAATCTTCAATACGAACGTCAAGGCAGTTCTACTGTATGGAGCTGAAACTTGGAGAACTACAACAACCACCATCAAGAAAGTACAAGTATTTATAAATAGCTGCCTACGCAAGATACTCAACATCCACTGGCCGGATACCATCAGCAATAGCCTTCTGTGGGAGAGAACAAAGCAACTTCCAGCTGAAGAAGAAATTAGGAAAAGACGATGGAAATGGATAGGACATACATTACGCAAACCGTCAAACTGCATCACGAGGCAAGCCCTAACTTGGAACCCTGAAGGGAGGCGAAAAAGAGGAAGGCCAAAGAACACATTGCGTCGGATTATAGAAGCAGATATGAAAAGGATGAATTACAACTGGACGGAGCTAGAAAGGATTGCCCAGGACAGGGTTGGATGGAGAATGCTGGTGAGTGGCCTATGCTCCTTCACGAGGAGTAACAGGCGTAAGTAAGTAACAATGTCGAAATAAAGAACCAACTCGATTCACACTTCTTGTGTCTGGAAGCCCTGATGCTGCTTCTCGTGGCTTCGCTGGCGTAGGTATAGCATTGAGTCCTAGGGCAGAACTAGCTGTCTTAGACTGGATCCCAGTAGACAGTCGTTTTTGCTCTGTCCAACTAAACGGAACAGCAAGGACTC